AATGCCAGCTTCCTTGAAGGTTTTCCCTGGAAAGTATTTATCTCTTAATACTGTCGCTATAAGGGATAACGGATTTTGGGTCAAGCACCACCCAATCTTGGCAAGGAAAGCTAGGTTGAAGCACTAAATGTCCTTAAACCCCAATCCTCTAGCCTTCTTTTTTTTCATCAAACGATCCCATGATATCCATTGGACTCCCTTCCGCTGTTCATTGCCTCACCACCAATAGTTTCGAACCGCCTTCTCAACGTCCCTACACACCCTAATAGGGAGTGTAAAATAACTCATGGCATAATTCAACAAAGCCATGGCCACCACTTTAATAAGGATCTCCTTCCTAGCTTGGGACAAAAACTGTTCAGTCTACCTCGCTTTCGAGCTTCGATCTTATCGCTAACCTCTGCAAAAACAGCTGCTCAAAATTAGCCTGCATTCCTAAATACTTTCCAAAACCTTCTTTACATTGAATACCCAGAGTTTTTTCAATTTTCTTCTTGTTTCGCTTTGAGGTCTTTGAACCAAAGAAGATTGAGCTTTTAGATAAATTGATAACCTGACCGGAACCCCGTGCGTAAACCTTTAGCACATCCACAACTTCATTCGCCTCCTCCACCATGGCATTCCCAAACAGAAAAGAGTTATCAACAAAGAAGAGGTGCGTTACAGGAGCTCCGTTTAGTGTCACCTTAAAATCGTGGAGGGCACCGCACTCCAGGCCCTTTCTGACCAACATAGAGAATCCTTCCGTGCATAGAAGAAACAAAAAGGGAGATAATGAATCTCTCTGTTTTAGCCTCTTTTGCGACAGTATGTAACTGATCGGGTTCCCATTGACAAGAATACTGAGCAAAACAGTAGAGATACATTCTTTGATCCACCTACAGAAAAGTGGTGCAAAACCTATTTTCTTCATCATAATACAACGAAAGTCCTATTCTACTCGATCGTACGCCTTAGCCATATCCAGCTTTATGGCCATCTTTGCCTGATCATCCTTTTTTTGGTGATGTAGGGAGTGCAGAATTTCATGCACCACTAGGATATTGTTCTGGATTTGCTTTCCAGCGACAAAGGCAGATTGGTTGTCACCAATCACTTTTGGCATCACATTTTTCAGTCTATTAGTTAACACCTTGGCGAGTATTTTGTAAATTACATTGCAAAGAGCGAAGGGCCTATATTGCGTCATGTTCTTAGGGCATTTCACCTTTGGGATTAGAACCAAGTTTGCATGGTTTAACTTTTGTAAAAGCCTGCCGGAATGCCAGAAAACTTTGACAATCTTAATCACATCCTCCCCCACAATATCACAGTGGTCTTGGTAAAAACACCCTAAGAACCTGTCAGGGCTCGAGGTTCTCGAAGGTGGAATTTGGAAGGCTGCCATCACAATTTTGTCTTTAGTCACCGGTGCTGTCAAGGCAATGTTATCTTCACGAGTAACCCGAGCCTTCATACATTTCTGGTTATCTTCATGAGTAACCCGAGCCTCCATACATCTCTTAATCTCCTCAAGCTGGTTGGGCATACAAGACTGGAATAACTCAGCAAAATACGAGGTTGCAGTAGCATAGATCCCGTTTTCACTCTCATGTTATACCCCATTAGAATCCTCAATCCTTCAAGATCAGATTGAACCTTCTTTTTTTCATCGTTTGCGCATGGAAGAACTTAGTGTGTTTGTCTCATTCCCTGAGCCATTGGATCCTGGATTTGGTTTTCCAGTAGGCCTCTTGTTTCTTGTAAGCATCCCTGAGTTCATTCTCCTTACGCTTAACCTCCTCTTTGCTGAACCCATTGGAGTTGTATGCCTTCTTAATCTTCTTTTTCAGCTACTCAATCATTTTCTTAGAGCTCCTGCCTTTCCCCCTATACCATGCCTTTAAGCCCCTCCTGAGATTTTTTGTTTTTTCACAAAAACGAAATGCATGAAAGCCTCCAAACTTGTCGCACCAATCCCCTGTTACTAGATATCGGCATTCCTCCAGCTTACTCCAACTGGCATCATAAGAAAATTTTCTTCCCCTCCACTCCTGCATCTTCTCAGTAGAGAGAAAAAGTAGGACATGGTCGGACCTTTCCAACACCACGTGCCTGATTTTAGTTTCAGGATAAAGGTCGTGCCACCCCAAGGTTGCCAGCCCATGATCGAGTCTCTGCTGAATTGGTAATGCCTCCCTGTTATTTCTCTATGTGAACGGGTAACCTTCATATCCCAGGTCCATGAGCTCGTTCTGGGCTACGATGCCCTAATATCTCGCATATTAGAAGCCATTCTGAGGTTGCCTTATACTTTTTCTTCATTGCACAAGATGTCATTAAAATCCCCTAAGAGTAACTATCCTTGTCTTGATCTATTTGGTTGCTCAAACTCTACCATTTAGTATTAGAGTAAATGGCGAACAAACGCCAGTGGCAGTTAAGCCTTTCGTCCTATAATTTAACTTTAATCATGAAGTCATCAGACTTAACCAACTTTACATGTGATTCATTTCTCCAAAACATACACAGCCCGCCACCAATACCTCTTGGTTCCACATCGAACACATGATCCATTCCTAGTCTCATTTCCAAATACTCATAGCTCCTGCTTTTGTTCTTTGTCTCTAGCAAGATCACTATGTCAGGGGTGTGAAACTGGTTCTGCTCCAACAAATTGTCAACTGTCAGGTCACCCTCGATACCCTGATAGTTCCAGGTGATTATCTTCATAAAGACTTGGAATACCCCATAAGGTTGGTCTCATCCACCACTTCAAATAAGCTTTTCCTTGGTCTGTTACTTTTAGGCTTCGTACTAAGAACTGGCATAGAGTATTCCACCTTTTGGTATAAGCGTTTTTTCCTTTTATGTTCATTCATCACTGCCTCGATGATTGGTGCCAATTTAAATAGGTCGTCTTCAATAGCCTTAACTTCTACATAATTTACCCTTTCTTTTGACGCCTCATCAAAAACCTCCCCCTATCAATCATCCCTCTATCTATACCATCAACAACAAATGGCTCACAATTTAAATCAAAGCCCTGGCCAGTTTCCAAAGAGACACCTGACACATTCACCCATACATTTTGCTCTGGAATCTCATGAAGGACAATGTGCTCAGCTTCTTTAGTAATCGCCCTCCCCGAGTCCAATTAGCCCTGCTTTCTATTTCTCGCAGCATTATCTTCCTTCCGTTGGTTTCGAATTTTATCAGCAAGCTTTAGACCCCCTCCCCCCCCCATACCACATTTACTTGAAGACCATTGAGGTTTACTCAGGGAAATGGTTGTATCAGTCTCATCATCATCCAACTTAGCTGTGCATTCACTTCCACTTTGCGATTTGTAACCCCCAAATTGGGTGTGACTCCCTATACTCGAGGCCGTTGAGGAGCATCCAGATCGTCTGCCCCCATCTTGTTCTTCACTCATTTCCTTCTTCCAGCACTCTAGGCTTCTCTTTCTGCTATTCAACCCCAAAGATGCCTTGTTTTGAGCACCAGAGCCCAAACGATTGCCCCGCAAGTCCGTCGCTGCATCCAAACCTCTAAACGCATAACCCTCTTCCATCTCCCCAGAACTCTTATTGTCTACCTTTCCGTCCTCCTGGGGGCCTTTACAAATTCTTGTTGCATATCCCATCGTCCCATAAATAAGATAGTATTTTGGTAGCGCTTTATATTTAAAATCAACCCAGACTCTACCATCGTCGGGAAATGTCACGAAAGTCCAACGCATGAAGGGTTCGCGAACATTGAATCTGATTTTCACACGGAGGAATCTGCCAATACAATCCCGGCTTCCCGATTTGTCCACCTTACGAACTATACCCAGCAGACCTTCAATGAACTCCACAACTGCTTGAGTCATACTGAGCATTGGGACATTGTGGATTTGGACCTAGAACACACCGAGAGAGAGTGGCACCTACCTGTTTAGTCTTTTCTTTGTTCGATCCGCCACCATCACCAGATCGTTTTTGAAAGACCAAGGCTGGTCAGAATCCACCACTCTTTGTAGATCGCGCTGACCCGCAAATCGTGCCAAGAATCTGCGTGCTTTCCAATATCCCTAATGGAGACCCCCTCTCGTCCCCGCTAGAGTGACATAAGGCAATCAATGAACACTTCCTCGTTCACATCCTTTGAGGTGAGAACTTCAGCAATCATGGTATATTGGAACCCTAATAATGCTCATTCCAACGTGAACCCAGATCTTCCAACTCTCTCTTATCATTATCCCCTGCCATGGCAAAAAAATACCCACTTCACCCAATGGTCCCTACCCACCCCGATCAAGCTATAACACTCCACCCACCACAAAATCAAGTAGATCTACTAACAAATCTTCATAATCCCACTCTAGAACCCTCGTTGCCCCCTCAGATCTCGAAAAACTCCAACTTCCTAGCCCGGCAAGCCGACCCACTTATAGACCCAAAGCTCGTTCCTTACAGCAAATCCGACTTCACTCTTGCACCCCGAGAAAGGATTGACGAGTAAGCCCCCTTATCAATGGCACAAAGGTAGACCGGAACCAACGAATCTCAGATCTCGATTGACCAATGGAGCACCGTTACCCCCACCTTTCGAGGAACTCTCTCTCTCTTTACGAAATATTTTTGCAGTGCTCTTGAAATTTGGTCATTGTTCTACTTTAGCTTATAAAATTTTAATTTCGCAATTTTCTATTTTTGACAAAATACATTTACAAAACTAACGGATTGTAAGAAATTGCGACAAATTGAAAGTTTAAGAGGCACATAACCAAATTAAGTATATAAGAAAAAATAGAACAAAATCCATAATTCCGAAGCAGTGCTAAAGTTGGTGAGTATTTTGCGAAAATGATATGAAAATTCTTTAAAAAATGAAAAGTTATTAAAAACGTTTCTAAAAGATAGGAGCCAACCAAGCTGGACCAAATTGGAGAGGGTGTAAACTTTGACAAGAGCAATAACATATAGGGCAAATAGAGTTAGTTAAGGATCTTTGGTTGGTGGCCAATTAAAATACCAAGTATGGATCTGGGTTCTCGCTCCACCCAAAGTATATAAAGTGTGTGTGCGCCAGCCACAAGTCTTAAGTCAGAAGGTCTGCATCTCAAGTACAGCTAAGACTTCTGACTACTCAGAGGAGGAGCTGTGCTTCAACCCCTTCACCTTCTTCTTCTGTTCTCTGTAAGTGGATTTGCTCAACCTTTTTAGTTTGTCTATGGATCCAATCTATGTGTTTTTATTTGGTGTTATTTTGTTTGGTTTTTGTTGGGGTTATTTATTTTTTGGTTTGGTGGTGATGGGGTTGACTTTGGGATGAACAGAGGCAGCTGCCGGAATGGGTTCAAAATCTCAACTTTTTCACTACGATGAGGTGGCAAAGCACAACCACAAGAAAGATTGTTGGATCATAATCTCTGGAAAGGTCAGATTTGTGGTTTTTATTACAAAAATTTCCTTTTTGATTGTCCTTCTATTGTTTTTGTATGTAAATCTGTCCTTGTATATGGAATTGTTTCAGTTTCTGGGTTGATTTGTGATTTGTGATTCGTCTTTTGGTTAAAGGCAAAGACTTTTGCTGCAACCCTTTTTGTTTTGTGTTTTAATTATTAAAGGAGTTACTTTTGCATTATCTGCACTGAATGGATGAAAGTTTACAGATCTAATTGAAAGTATACAGCAGAATTCAAGAAATAAAAAGGAAAAAGGGTACATACTAAAATGTTAATTATTGCAAAAATCAATATGGTAGTTACTAGTTACATGGTATTGTTGTGTGAAGGACTGAATTGCACAGTGTGTTTTCTGTGTAGTTGGTCTGTCTGTTTTTTTGATGTTATCAGAATCTAATCACTGAAAAAATGAATAGGATGGGATAGAGGAAAGTGCGTACGGTACTAGTTAGTACCAACGAGGAATTGCGTTGTATGTGGTAAACACGTTCAAGGCAATACAATAAATTAATTTCTTTCACCTATGAGTGCTAAGTTTTTATGAAAAATGCTCAAGATAGTTCATTGGTGTCGCTCTATACTTGCTGGTCTTAAGGTAGTGATGATTAAGTATGTGATTGTATAACTCTGCCCGATTAAGGGAAATGTGTCAGATTGGAAATGGAATTGTAAAAGGCAAATGTAAGATGAGCGATTTGGTTGTTAATTGTTATTATGTATAGTTAGATAGGTAGCATGGTGAGTAGTTGGACTTGAGGCGTAAAGAAAGTTGTTTTTTGTTTTGAATAACTCTTAACTTGCTAATCAGAGAAAACAAATGTAATCTCTGGTGGTATGTGAAACAATTGTAGCACTATATAGGCAACTTTCAGGACTGCAGAACAATGAAAAAACAGTATGTGAAACTTGAACACGCCGAGCTGGGCAGGAGCATCAGCTGATCTTGTTCAAATGGGTATGCAAATGGGAACATTTAAGATCAGCTGCTGCCCCTTCCCAGCTGCTGTAGAACTAAACAGTTTTATAAAGACATTTTCGGTTGTTGGTCAGGAAAGAATTAGCTGGGCCTCCTCACTGTTCAATTTCTGCACTTTTATATTTGTTCCTCAAGGAAGGGGTTCTAAGGATAAGGACACTTGCTTTCAGCAGTGAATATACTGACCGACATACGCTTTTTTATTTGGTTCCTAGCTATGAGGTCCTTCTCTTTGTTGGTATGTTGATCATACACAAAACAACAGATATTTTAGTAAATTCTTCCGTCTGGTAACTTAGATAGTTCACTTTTTTACTTTTAACTTCATCTACTCGCATAAAATTTACCGGCTTCACTAACTATCTAGTATATTTTGAACAACTTACCACAGGTTTATGATGTGACCCCTTTTTTGGAGGATCACCCTGGAGGTGATGAAGTCTTGCTATTAGCAGTTGGTAAGATTGTAGACTTCAGCTAGACAATTTAACTTTTATGTTTCCGACTGTTTTTTCTTTACTAGTTAGAGTATGTGAACGTTTATATGTGGTAATTAGAACTTTGTTTCAACATCTTGCAGAAAAAGATGCAACAGATGACTTTAATGATGTCGGCCACAGTGATTCCGCGAGGGAGCAGATGGAAAAATTCTATGTAGGCAAGGTTGACACGTCCACCATACCAGGCACAGCCAAATTACAAGCTTCCTGCTCAAGCAGCTGCTCAATCTGAACAATCTTCTGGACTTTTGGTAAAACTTTTACAGTTTCTGCTGCCCTTGTTGATCATGGGAGCTGCATTTGCTCTGCAATACTACAATAAAAAGTAGTCTAATTATCCTCCATGCGTATGAACTTTCTTCAGACTGATAATCTATCACTCAAGTCAGAATAACGTAACAACAGAATTTCAGTTACGACTTTGCATTTTTGAACATGTTGTACTACCTTTTTACATATCGTATTTGTGTGTGCTTGGAATTTATTGAGTTGGCGAAGCATTATTTCATCCCATTGCAATGATTTCTTTCAAAATATTTGCTTCTTCACCTGAAATTTAGCCAGTTCAGTGAGTTCGATTGATGGGATAATATTCACCATTACTGCTTTTGTGTTCATGATTTAGTCTTTGGATAGCAGAAAATTTAAGACTTACCAAAATAGCTTTTCCTTATTTGTAACCCATAAGAGGAAAAGTTATTGTGTGGAACTGGAACACGGCCATGTGGTACTAGAACATGCAGATGACTGGCAGTTTCTAGTACTAGAGTGACGCGATAGTTTCTCACAGATGAGCTATACTCGCAGAAAGTTAAGTAACAACTTATAAAGATGAAGATCGTAGTTGCAATAGAATTGTTCGATGGATCCAATATTTATTCCAATCTAAAATCTCTTTTGCGTTTCATATGTGATCTTGGCAACCACATGGAAACACCTAAGACTAGAAACTGAAGATTTGAGTTGTGTGGAATGAAGAACACCATTCACTCGTTCGCATTGACAATTGTGTGTAAACTATTTCAAAATTTCAATGCGGATTAAGCTTGGATCTTGAATAAGGACCTCATATCCTTACTCAATGACTAGTGAGTATCCTTTTTTTCGGTCAATGACTGGTGAGTTTCCATCAATTTGCAAGTGTCATCGAGGTTCCGTCTGTCAATTTTTAATAACAGAGGCGGATTCGAAATTGGGTGCAGAAGGGAGTGCACACCGGCCAATTTGAGAATACTTTAAAAGCAAAAACGTCTTGGATCTTGGAATTCTTTGGTTCGTAATTAGTTTTCTTTAGTTTTTGGGCTTCAGTCTTGGACCAAATAATAGAAGAAAAAAGAGGCTTGAGAATGTCAGATCGCTGATCCGAGTCCACAGATACGCACATTAACCACAGTATTAACTACGGCCGAAGCTCATTCGATTCCCATCTGTCATATTTACGGTGGGATGGGCAAGTTTCCAGAGCATGCCATTAACTTTGACAATGCCTGGCACTGCACATTGATACTAATTATTCTTAAAATTAAGGTCTGGTAGCAGTTATATTGCCTTGGTTGGAAAACGTTTTTGTTCAATGTCGATATGTATTTGTAATGAGTATGACATGTATATTTGCGCCTAACTTCATTGTGGTGGGGTAGTGAATTTTGTCGGGGATTTGTTAAACCGTTGGAAAAATATCCTTGTAAGTATCTCATTGTTTTTTCAAATAGAATATTGTTAGAGTCCAGGAATACGGGCAAATCTCAAAAAAAATAAAAATAAATAAATAGATACGAATACAGACACGAATACGACGACAAATCAAATCTCAAAAAATAAGGATACGGACACGACTAAACATGACGATTAAAATATAATAAATATTACATATTTAAAAATAATACGTACAAATTAACCAACATCTATTATCTTTGCAATAGATAATAGCCAATAAAAAATTCAAAATAGACAAAATCCAATCAAAATATGCAATGCTTACCTGTAAATTTTGGAGTCGAGGAGAAGTCCTGTCCTGCGCTGCTGCAATGCCCAATCAACTAGTTGTTAGATGCTGCGCATAGGATGTGGAACCAAGTGGCTAAGGAACTGAAGAGAGAAAGAGATCTGAAGAGGCGCCAGATTAGAGAGAAAGTGAGGACTGAAGTTAGGTTGAGGTGGAGACTCCTTTTTAGGTTTTAGTTCCAATATTTCTAAATCTGCCTCCAATATGTTTTTTAAATTTACAAAATGTCCCTTGCCATGTCTTGATCATGTTCAAACCATGTCTTGACCATGTCTAAATCATTAACTACAATGCAAGCCATGTCAAGGCGTGTCAAGCGTCCGATACTCTTAACACTTCGGAGTTTTGGAGTGTCTGTGTGACCTAGGAAAAAGGGACTAAAAACGAATTCATTGCCTCAATCTATTATTTATATTTTTACATAAGTAATAGAGAATTTCATTGATCCGAACAAACACGTATGCAGTGCCAAATGGGTACATTTCTTCAATGACCAATCTCTTGATCCGGAGATAAATCTGTGCAAACTCACAAATAAGGAACCCTAACCCTAAACCACAACATAACAACAACCATTAGCGACTGATGCAAATCTGCCATAAAGACGACAAACGTAAAAACCTAGTGCCAGGAGCCATAAAAGCCAACGCAAGAACAAGGTCGCGAATAACTCGCTGCAACGATACAAACACGATGAAACAAAACCAAAGAAAAACCACCTAATTCGAGAATGGAACCATCAATCAGCAAGTCCCCACTACGACAACCCAAATCACAAATATATCCCAAAATCAGATGGCATAACGTGGATCTAGGAAAAAAACTCCAACAAACGTTTGAGGGTTGTATGTAAAAAAGGTGAGAATGGGAAGGAGGCGTTGGGCATCATCAGATAGGTGAAAATGAGAGAAAAAGAAAGAAGAATTGCACCGGAGGCGTGAAGGATGAGGAGGTGTAGATGGAGGCCAATACAAACTCTGGACTATTTAAGAATCACTTTTCCGTCAGATTTGTGTTTCAAATCTAGCTTGATTTGTGGGATATGCTGTGCTCTTGATTAGGGTGGGATTTGATATCATGAATAAGCAAGTTCACCAACCAATTAGAAATTAGCATGTCTTAATATATGGGATAGTACTGATTAGCATAGTAACACTGATGCCATAATATTAACATATGTACCGCCTAAGGGATGGTAGAGTTTTGTAATGATAAGTTGTTCTCTTCATCTCTGACGTTTTCATCAAGTTCCCTTTAAACCAAAAAAGAGAATAGTGAAACTTTGTAATGATAAATTGGTGTGTTACACTCTTTTTTCATCAACCACGTCGAAAGGTCTAACAAAATTTTAAAGAGACTACATAAATACATGCGTACTTTTTTCTTCTTAACATATATATCATTTTGAAGGAAACAAAACAAAAATCCTAAAAACTAAACTTTGAACCCAAAACGCCTCAACTTGAAATCCCAAAATGACGCGATACAATAATTAATCAAGAAAATATACAAGTTGAACTCATGATCAAATTGTACGATCGTAAAGAAAACCAATGTGATTTAGGTACTTATCATAATTAAGGTGATTGATTAAGTTCATGACATGCATGCTAGTTTCTACACCCCTTGCGTTTATCTCATGCACGCATTATTTTTCAAAAAAAAACACACATGAGGTTCAGCGTTCATGCCCCTCATCTATACATTATTTTTTGTTTCCTTCAAAATGATTAACAAATATATCATTTTGAAGGAAACAAAACAAAAACCCTAAAAACTAAACTCTGAACCCAAAACGCCTCAACTCGAAATCTCAAAATGACGCCATACAATAATTAATCAAGAAAATATACAAGTTGAACTCACGATCAAATTGTACGATCGTAAAGAAAACCTATGTGATTTAGGTACTTCTCATAATCATACAACCACCTTATCTTAATTAAGGTGATTGATTAAGTTCATGACATGCATGCTAGTTTCTACACCCCTTGCGTTTATCTCATGCACGCATTATTTTTCAAAAAAAACACACATGAGGTTCAGCGTTCATGCCCCTCATCTATACATTATCCGATGCTATTGTTTGAACCTCATGCAACTGTTCATGTGCAGATTATATGAATATGCATATGATTTGATTTGAACTGAAAGCCTAGTTTTAGTTTTAGTTATTTGGGGAAAATCCTGACACTAGTTTTGTTGATACGCACATAAGTTTGCTATGTGAACAAACCAAGCGTACGACTACGGGCGCCATCTCATACTTTAAGGATTTAGTTTTAGTTTTTAGTTTTATTTTTTAAATTAAAATTTTCGTTTGATAAATACTTTCACTTCAGTTGTCATTTAAAAAATAAAATAAAATAAAGCTAATTACCAAATGAATTTCATTTCTCAGTTTAAAAAAAACTACTGAAAACTAAATAGTTATCGAGCGGTTCTTAACCTTTTTATTTATTTATATATAAACGACATTTTATATTAAATTAATTTAAACTACTACACATGAGGATACAAATTTGAGTACACACTGCTATAGGCTAATTAACTAGTTGTTGTTATTGATTTTAAATGAAAGAAATTCGCATTAAGCTCAGATATAAACAAATGAAATGTTGTCAAATTGTGGATAAAGTATTTTTCATAAAAAGAAAATGGATAAAGTACAATTTGAAATAATAATATGCATATACTTGACTTATTTCTCTCAATTATTGACAAGTGGGGATTTAATTATTGATTAAGGAATGGTAATTAATGGTACCACAAGTGACAAGTCAAACAAGCATCCCATCCCATCCAAAATAGTGATTGGATAAAGACATGAACAGACCCAGAAAACCCATCACATGCATCTTATTTAATTCTTCTTCTTCTTCTTCTTCTTCTTCTTCCTCCTCATCCATACTTAGAAGGCATCCATTTTGTTTTGTTTTTGTTCTGTACAATCCAAGAAATTTTGTTTCTTGTGTTTATCTTTCTTTTTCCAGTCAAAATCAGTGTCTGGGAATTCAGAGCAAGCATTAGCTAGGCGAAGATTCTTGCGGCTATGATTAAATCAATTAATTAAGACTTGTTAACTACTGATTATAATTACAGTAATGTAGTGGTCGAGTGGTCCTTATACTTTTATATGAAGTGAAAGGCTTAGAAATACTGTTTGATAGATCATTGTCGTTGGCTTTATATATATGTTTTCATCAATTGTCTTAACTGCATGAGCAAAATGAACGACAGCAACTTATCAGCTCTTACATAAGGTGTCCCTGTCAAGTTTTGCTTTTGCTCTCGACATTCTCCTGCGTTAAGGCCCCAACCGTCTTAAACATTTAGGTTAAATAGGTAAGGCTAATTGTTACTCATACTGCACGTAATGCTGATAATAGCATATGTTTCGCATCAACATATATAAAGAAGTAGGCTTGAAGTATTTTTATGTCTGGGGTAGAGATTGCTCCATTTGTCTAACATCTTCTTACTCCCACTTTTCGGAAAAATTATTGCG